TTTGAGGACTAATGTATTATTGCGCTCTTTGATTTGAGTATGAGTGATCATGACTTTTTGACAATCTTCCATAAGACTTTGAAATGATTCTTGAGCCTTGAAAGAAGTGTCAACGGAACTAAAGGAACTAAAGAAACTAGAAGATACCTCTTCGTCGATTTCGCGCGCCATTAAACATTCCTCATGTTCGGGTGTTTTGCCGACTAAACATAGAAGCGCCGTATCTTCTTGTGATGAATCACTCTCGTCACTAGATGATTCTTCAGATTCGCTTGCTTCTAGCGGATCACTTATCAAAGCCTTTCGTTTATCCTTCTTGAATCTCTTTTCCTTCGACTTGTATTCTTCCTGCGAAGGGTTAGTAGTATTCGAATTTTTGCTTACCTTGGGGTGTGGACATTCTGCCATAAAGTGTCCAGGCTTTCTACAATTATAACACACATTTGTGTTATCTTCGACCAGTTCTTTTCTTGGTCTTCTAAATGAGCTTCCTTGTGATGAATTCTTGAACTTGTTCTTTCAGATGAACTTTTTGAATTTCCTAACAAATAAGGAGAATTGTTCGTCAGATAAAAAATCATTATTTCCTACTGACCTTGATGTAGACGGTTAATCGGCCATTAGTGCGAATGTTCGTTCATCGCGTTCTTCTTCAATTCGTGTCTTCATCTCGAACTCATACGCCTTGAGATCACTAAAGAGTTTATCCGTAGATAATGTTCTTAGGTCTCTATGATCTCGCATCACGGTTACTTTCATATCCCAATTAGAAGGTAGTCCACGTAATACTTTGAGTGATATTTCCTTCTGGGAGATGGTTTTGCCAAGATCACTTATTTCTCCAAGAATCTTGACTAAGCGTGCTTCCATATCGGTAATACTTTCGTTAGAAAGCATTTTGGAATCTTTGAATCTTTTCATGGCGATGGTTAGCTTGTTGTCCTTTTCTTGTTCGTCGCCTTCACCGATGCTTATGAGAGTATCACATATTTCTTTTGCCGTAGTGCACTTTCGAATCTTTGGGAATATGGTGTCATCGACCGCTTTGAACAAAATGTCCTTGGCAATATTGTCCAAGTTGTTTCACACTCTATCTTCACTAGTCCACTCCATTTTCGGCTTTGGAACATATTTTGGAGCATTTGGATTTAGTGCGGCGGCGGTGTTAACTTCCATGATCTTGATAGGACCATTTGTGATGACATCCCACATTTCATCATTTAAAGCAAATAAATGCACCTGCATACGTATTTTCCAATCATCAAATTTATCAAGTGAGAAAAGCAAATTTTGAGCAAGAACCATATCTCTCTTCAATTTGAAGTTTCGAGATCTATCTAGCAGTCAAGAAATGACTCAAATAGACAACTGCTCTGATACCACTTGTTGATCCCGAAAGGGTGGCGAGAAGTCTAGAGGGGGGGGGGGGTGAATAGACTTCTCTAACTTTTCAAACTTCTTTTGCAAACAACACTTTGGTAACGTCAACTCTAAGTAACAAGCATAAACAAGTATAACAACTTAGAGTGTGCACAACGGAATATGTAACGGCAAAGTGTTATGCTTTAATTGTGTAGTGCTCAAAGAGAGATTCTATACATGCATCACATTAGAAACACTTGATATAGATTAAGGATGATGTATGTAAAATTTCACTTGCATGCAAACAAGGGAACTATCAAACCCAGACAGATAAAGATACGCGATAAATCGTAACGGGTTAGTTCGCAGATGATATAAGCATGCACGAAATATAATTGAGTAGTAAGTAAATAGAGAGAGAGATTTATAGTGGTTCAGAGGTGGTGTAATCCTCCTAGTCCACTTTTCTCCTTTCACTCCAAGGAGGAAATTCACTATTCTTCGATCACCCAGATACAATAGTGAATAAGTGTCCACCGGCACTTCTCCGAGTGCTTCGCACAAGGCTACACTCCACCAAGGTTTTTCGCAAGCTCCTCTTGTTACTCCGCCTTCCCGAGTACTTCGCACCAAGCTGTACTCCTACACCACGAGAACTACGCACAAAGCTACGCTCTCACCGGGTTTTCACAAGCTCCTCTTGTTACTCTGCCCTTTACAACCGAGTGCTACGCATAAAGCTACACTCCAACTGGGTTTTTCACTCTCTCTAGTTACTCTACCCCTTTTCTACACTCAATAGAAGATTTACAATGAAATACAATGATTTCTTCTTTTAGAGTTGAATTCTATCGTATATAGCTCAATATATCACTTGATGTATGATTGGATAATTTTCTTAGTAATTCCCCGTAAATCTAGTTGTAGAATTCGTTTCTCAATCTCTACTTGTCTTCAAGTCTTCTTGGACAATTTATAGCCAATGAAAGCTATTTGCCCGTTGATCAACTTTTGATCTTGATCGTCCATTTTGAATTTGTAGTTGATCAAATAATTTTGCCAACTTGGTCTGCAAAGTCATTTCGCCGTCTGTCAGAAGATTTGAATAATTTTGTTGTTGCTCTTCTTTAATCTGACAAAGCTTTTCCTTGGAATGGGAAGCCTCCAAATTTGAATTTCTCTAGCATGACTTCTATTGAATTATTGATCGGATGTGCCAAGTTGATCAAATAATTTATCTGCTGATTCTTGCTTGAGTATTTAAATTTAAAAGATTTCCTCCGTGTATCAGCTTCTTCGACTACCTTCGTAAAAACAGAGCTTCAAAAGAAACATTCTGCCTAACAAATATAACATGATGATGTCATAGCTCTTTTTGATGATGTCATGACATGATAGTATATCATGTCCACCTTATATCATGAAGTAGTATCATGTTAGTCTAGTATCATGATCTTGATATCATGCTTTCATAAAATTGCTTTGGGTGGGAATTGAACCATGTATCCTCTAGTTTGCTTTGCAAGGCTTCTTCCAACTTGGCTAGTTAACTATTTGATATATCTTAAGACTTAAATTTTTTTTTTTTTTTTGTCTCATCTCTTCACGTGGGTTTGTAGAACCATACCACGTTATGATGTAATCTTCCGATAGTAGTGACGTCATCATCCGATATTATCTTCTATCATGTTATAAAAACCATTTCTTCATGATAGTTCTACCCAATACTTCATGATATCACCTCCCGATATCATACTTCGTGATAGCACTTCAACATAGCTTGTCTAAGCCTTTTTACACCAAAATACTCTCAATGGGAATTAAACTGCGAATCACTTGGTATTAAGTTGCTTCAACAAGCTGGTAACTCTTTTTCTTTTCCTCTCTAGGGTTTCGCTAGGGTTTCTTCTTCCTTACTCGGTTTCGAGTGCTTTCCGGCTACTTTTGGCCTCTTTCTACGGGAAATCTCGGCGACGATTCCAATCTGCGTGCATGGAGCGAGGATCGGTGACGGAGGCGGTCAACATATTGGGGAGACGGTGGGCTGACGTCGTCCTTGACGATGAGGAGGATGAGGTTTTCGTACCTCCTGGATTGGCGGATGCTGAGCAGCCGGCTGCGGCAGTTCAGGTATGGCGGCTAGTTGGCAGGTTTTTGACTACTAAGCTTATTAAGACGGAGTTCATGAGCCAAGTCATGGCTTCGGTATGGCAGCCGGTTAAGGGGGTTCAAGTTTCAGAATTGCAACCGGGGCTGTTCCTGTTTGTGTTTTTCCATGAAACAGATATTCAATTGGTTCTTGAGGGAGGGCCATGGTCCTTTGAGAATCACACGTTTGTTTGCAGACAAGTTCAGGATGGGGTTATTCCGGGCACGGTACCGCTGGATACGGTTGATATGTGGATTCAGGTACATGACTTACCACTGGGTTACACATCTGACATTATTCTGGAGCAGGTTGGAAATTTCCTTGGAATGCTTATTAAAGTTGATGATCGATTTGTGAATGCGCCATGGAAAACATTCTATCGAATTAGGGTTTCCATCTCAGTTTTGAAACCGCTAAAATGACGTATGAAATTCATGAAGAGGGATAAGTCAACTTGTTGGGTTAATTTTAAGTATGAAAGACTGCATAATTTCTGTTACTTTTGTGGTATGATGGGGCATCTACATAAGTATTGTCTAAAAGCAAGGGATGCAGGGCTTCCGATTGATCAATATCCGTATGGTGAGGGCTTACGTGCGGGCTTTAAGAAGTGTCCACGAAAAGTGGGTGCGTCATGGCTGCTAGACATGAACGGCAAGCCTATGGCGGGATCCCCCTTGGATATTATGCCGACGGTGCGGGTTGAGGACCATGGTGATGCTACATCCGACCCTACACGGGTTTGTGGCGAGAGTGTTGTAGTTGAGGCTGCAACGAAGAGGAGGCGTGCGAATTTGAATGGGAATGATGAGAACAGAGTGAGGGATGGTGATGATGTTGTTATGACAGAGATCCAAAATAACTTGTCTGCGGCGGGTACTGGTTCCCAGTCCCGCCCATCATTATGAGTACCATCAGCTGGAACTGTCGTAGCTTGGGCAATCCACGAACAGTTCGTGAGTTAACGGACCTAGCGTCTCGTAAGAAGCCTGATTTTATTTTTCTTATGGAAACCATGGTGGAACGAATACATGCTGAAAGGATTCGTGTCTCCCTTGGTTTTGATGGTCTTTTTTATGTTAATCCAACTCCACAAGGCGGTGGTGGCCTAGCACTACTGTGGCGTAAGAATGATACGGCAAGTCTCTTGAGTTATTCTAAAAATTATATTGATATTGAGGTGAATATGCCCAGCTTTCCCAGATGGAGGATGACGTGTTATTATGGCTACTCCCAGCGACATAGGCGCATGGAGGCATGGGACTTGATAAAATCCTTCGCGCAGCGCTCTACTCTACCTTGGGTTATGATCGGGGATTTTAACGAGCTGTTGTTTCAGCATGAGAAGAGGGGGGGCAATCCACACCCCGATAATCTCCTACGCGGGTTTGGGGAGACTATTGATCAATGTGGTTTGACTTAGTTGCCTATGGAGGGGTACCGTTTTACTTGGGAAAAAGGGAAAGGAACATCAAATTGTATTGAGGAAATGTTGGATAAGGTACTGGTGTCTGATGATTGGCGGGAGATTGTGCCGGGGGCCAGGCTTGTTAATAATCTGATGCGGAAATCGGATCACTCCGCGTTATTTCTGAGTATTAATGACACGTTCCAGGGAGGAGGGCGAGGGAGGAGGGGCTTTCGGTTTGAGATGGCTTGGATTTATGATGATGGGTGCAGGAATGTTGTGGAAAAGTCATGTGAGGAGGGAAGGCGTGATGGGGTCCAGGACTGTATAGTGCATTGTGGGAACCGGTTAACCAGGTGGGGTGGTGATCGGTATCATAAGTTTGGGGAGAAAATCATGCTCCTGCGGAATCAGCAACTGCGTCTGAGGGGTCGCACTGACTCTACTTCTTTGGCTGAATTCCAAAGACTGGAAGGACTTCTGTGTAGTATGGAGGCCCAAGAGGATGTTTACTGGAAACAGAGAGCTAAGCAACACTGGCTCAAGAATGCTGACGCAAATACAAGATTTTATCACAGGTACGCCTCTCATCGTAAGAAGAAGAATACTATTTATAAGCTTATGAGTGATAATGGGGATTGGTTGGAGGGAAATGCTATGAATGCAATTATTTTGGATTATTTTACCCATATATTTTCCTCTAGTGGACCTGTGGATGGTGATGTGTTATTCTCTGGGATAACCCCCCGTGTGACCCGTACTCAGAATGAATCCTTATTACGACCCTTTGAGCTAGCTGATGTTAAAGAGGCTCTGTTTGCAATGGCCCCAGACAAGGCACCTGGTCCGGATGGTATGAACCCAGGATTTTACCAGCACTTTTGGGACATAGTTGGAAGTGATATTTCGACATTTACTCTAAACTGCCTCAATAATCGTGTCTTCCCCTCTGGTCTAAACGATACGGATGTGGTACTCATTCCGAAGAAGAAAGTCCCTGAAATGATAACGGATTTTCGCCCTATAACTCTGAGCAATGTGATTTACAGAATTATGGCGAAGATGATTACGCAAAGAATGAAACCATTAATGGAGAAGATAATATCGGGCTCTCAGAGTGCATTTATTCCGGACAGGTTAATTACTGACAATATCCTTGTAGCTGCTGAGGTAGGGCATTTCTTGAACAGGAAGCAATGTGGTGTTGTAGGATGGGGAGCACTTAAATTGGATATGGCCAAAGCCTACGATCGCATGGAATGGCCCTTTCTCCGTGAAATGTTATTAGCCCTGGGTTTTGATAGCAGGTGGGTTGAATTGATTATGTTATGTGTCACTACTATGTCATATAATCTTCTGATTAATGGCTCTCGTAGTTCTCCCATTACACCCACGCGTGGTCTCCGCCAGGGGATCCATTGTCCCCGTATTTATTTATTATCTGTGCAGAAGGGCTGTCAATTCTATTGCAGAGAGCGCAAGATAGTGGATTAATACATGGATGCAGGGTTGCTAGAGGGGCACCTCCGATCTCTCACTTATTTTTTGCAGATGATAGCCTACTGTTCTTCAGAGCGAATACGCAGGAAGCATCTGAAATTAGAAATTGTTTGTTACTATATGAGAGTTTCTCTGGCCAAAAGATAAATTATCATAAATCCAGCATTTGTTATAGCAGAAATACGGGGCAGAATGATAGGGATATGGTAGCACAAATACTAGGTGTTAACCAAGCTCCAAGTTTTGGGAAATACCTAGGACTACCCTCCTTTGTGGGCAGAAATAAAAAGGCGACGTTTGCATATATAGAAGATAAAATAAGGCAGAGAATTGGGTCCTGGAATAAGAGGTTGTTAACCCAGGCTGGGAAGGAGATCTTATTAAAAAGTGTGGCCCAGGCAATGCCAACTTTTTCAATGAGTGTCTTCCTACTACCTATATCTACTTGTACAACTATTGAGCGGGTTATGAATCGGTACTGGTGGGGGTCAGGAACCGAGCGGGGCATACACTGGAAAGCCTGGGACAGATTGTGTGTCCCAAAGAAATATGGAGGCATGGGGTTTAAAGACTTAAGGGCATTTAATTTGGCAATGTTGGGAAAACAGGCGTGGAGATTGCTCACTAACCCAGACTCATTGGTAGCCAGGGTTTATAAGGCCAGGTATTACCCAAAGGATACTTTCCTAGAGGCAACTATAGGAAATAATCCAAGTTTCTGCTGGCGGAGCATTATGGCAGCTAAAGATTTAATATGTGGAGGTGTACGAAAGCGAATTGGGAACGGGGAATCTACCTTGATATGGGAACACCCTTGGTTACAGGATGAGATTGATCCTATGATTCATACGGAAATGCCACAACACCTGTCTGGAGCCAAAGTGGTAGGATTAATTGATCAGGATACAAAAACATGGGACCCGCACATACTAGCTGATATTTTCCAACCAGATGATATACCTAGAATTCAGAAAATACCGGTTGCCCCTGAGTATGAAGATATATGGTATTGGTATGATGATCCTAACGGTTATTATTCAGTCAAAAGTGGATATAGACGAATAGTTGGAAACTATGAGAACAATTCTAATGGGTTTTTTAGTGAATGGCTTACCCTATGGAAACTAAAAATCCCACCCAAGTGGAAGACATTCTTATGGAGGGCTATTTGTGATGTCCTCCCTACTACCAATAATTTGCTTATAAAGAGAGTGGAGATTAACCCGATGTGTGCCATGTGTGGAAGAATGAATGAGGATACCATGCATGCATTAGTTTTGTGTGACTATGCACACTCCATATGGGCTAAATCCAACCTTCCAATCCCCATTATTATGACAAATGTTTTCCATGAATGGTTTAGTGCAATCTTGAATGTTCTAGACTTTGATGGAATTATTTATGCAGCTGCAATACTTTATCATTTATGGAGGGCGCGAAACGGTGCAGTGTGGGATGCCTGCCTACCAACGCCAACCAAGCTATTATTGACTGCAACGTCCACGATGAAGGCGTGGAAAATGGTTCACCACCGTGCGCCACAGCCGGAACGGGGCCAAGGAACCGCCGCTGCTGCCCATACCGCCGCTACTGCCCGTACTGCCGACCAGCCTCCGCTGCCGCCTACTGCTGGACCGACTGCCGCTTTTCCACCGCCGCTGCTGCCCGTACTGCCGGACCCGCACCATGGTGTATCACCATCACCGGTAAAATGCTACATGGACGCCAGCTACCACCACGGAACGAATGCCGCTGCTGTTGGGGCGATCCTCCTCGACGCCAACGGCCATTATTTGTCGGCTTTCACCGCCCCATTGATTGGATGCCACTCCCCGCTATCGGCTGAGGCTATTGCATGCAAAGAAGTCTTGTCATGGCTCAAGAGGCGGGATGAATTATCTATACAGGTATTCACGGATTGCCAAGTGCTACAGTCCTATCTATCGGGACCATCAATAACACCACGGTCATACTTGGGCTATGCTATCGACAACTGCAGAGCTCATATATCTACTTTTTCGTATTGCTCAATTATTTACATTCCTAGATTACAGAATTCATTAGCTCATACTCTAGCTTCTACAGCTTTCACGTTTGATACTGCTATGTACTGGGACAATGTCCCTCCAGACTCTATTTTACCACTTCTATAAATACAACCTCCAGGTTGACCTTCAAAAAAAAAAAAAAAAAAAAAAGTTGCTTCAACAAGTCTTCTTCCATCTCGTCCATCTCATCCTTTGATGACTTAATGCTTCATAAATGTGTTAAGATATGATCCCGCTTACATTTATTCTTCCTTCAAACCAGCTTTCACGTAGGCTTCATGGCAAGGGTGCACCATACTTTGTGAACCAGAACTGACTCAAATAAAATAAAATTGGGGTCTACAAAATACATTTGGCTCATCAAAAATCATACAATATATTCCTAACAAAATCAATTTTCGAGAACACCCCTGCTCCTTTAAGTTGGTCGAACAAGTCGTCTATTCGGGGAAGAGGATATTTATTCTTTATTGTAACTTGATTTAGTTCCCTATAGTCGATGCACAAACGCATGCTCCCATCTTTCTTTTTAACGAATAATACTGGTGCTCCCCATGGTGAGGTGCTGGGGCGGATGTATCCCTTGTCTAGTAGTTCCTGAAGTTGTGTTTTCAGTTCCTTCATAATGTTTGATCGCAACCAAACAGTGGACCGCAGCCCAAGAGTGATCATCTGACCGCAGCCAGGAATATGAACCGCAGCTCATGTAGAACGTTTGATCGCAACCAAATGGTGAACCACAGCCCGAGAGTGTAATTCTGACCGCAGCCAGCTTCTGAACCGCAGCTCAGGAATAACCAATTTGATTGCAACCAAATTGGGGTATCATGTACACATAACACATAGCAAGCACATGCAACCCATATTAACACATTGGGGAAGGGGAAAAATGTATAACGAAACCTATGCGTGGTCACCCACATACTAGGAATGATCCTAAGGGGTTCATACTTCTTTCATCGAGGCCAACGGGATACCAATTCAACTAGCATGCGATATATAAGACTCATTTATCCTACGAACGGTACCCGAAACATCAAACTAGACTTAGGCACGATAAACGAAGTCCGTTGGGACACCACGAGGGTCGGGGAAACATCAAACGGGGAAGACAAAGTCCCAAAGTGAGCAAATTCCAGCGGGTAGCCGGTGGGTGGAGAACCACCCGCCGACGGCGTCTTTTTGGGCAGCGGGTAGGTGGTGGGTTCCCTTATCCCCCACTGACTCTTTATCAAAATAACCGTCCCGGGATCCTTTGTGGAACCCGAAACCATGCTTAGACACTTTTAAACGCAATTGATGACACCACGTAGACAATTAACGGATCAAAAGCAAGAATCATATAGCACATATCCTATTATGACTTCTAAGCATAATCAACACCCGAACATGCGAATTCCCACCCAAATATATCAAGAATATCACCATATGTATTTCACGATTCATCCTAGGGCTCTAATAATATTTAAATCATCAAGATCATGGTTTATCTTTTAACATCAAGGAACATCAAGATTTATCAAGAACATCACATAATCATCAAGAACCTCTTATCATCATCAAGATCATCAAGATCACACATAAAATCATCTCATCAATCATCAAGATCATATCATCAATATCATAAACGATTTATCAAGACACGAGTATAGAGAAGAAGCCAAAGAAGGAGATTATAGCAAAGAAAATAGGTTTTGTTAAGACATGGGTTATCTCTTAGCCTTAATTAATTTCCTTGGCTATGAAGGGTCTTTCTTTAAGATTCCTTCTTTCTTGATTTCTCCTAAGAGAATTCTTGGAACTTCTTGTGTGGTGGGAGATTATTGTGGTGTGAGATCTAGGTGCCTCCTGTAACACCCCCCAAACAAGACCTATATAAAAGCCTTAACACATGCAGATTAAACAACAAAACTAGCACAGTGGACGATAAAACGGAAACTGGATAAAAGAAATCCGAACGGGGTGTCACGCCACGTCTATCAAACACGGTAAACGCTACGGCAAACAATCTGCAAGTGTATACATCTATACCAAAAGATCGGTCTAAAACTACACGGGCACACAGGCCACAAAACAAGGATAAAGGTGCTAAGCTACCAGGCTCTAGACATCGCGCTCGTCTAAACATCACCTGAAAGATACAAAGATAAACATTGGGACGACGCCCGGTCAGCGATAAATGCTGGTAACCCACCAATACATGTGAAATATCATACATAGATAGATATAAGGTGTAAAACCATTTTCGAAACGGAATACATATATATAAGTCAAAAACCAAGATTAACAGTCAACACAAAACTCATCACTCTCAAAGATAACACGGGAACACATCCCAAACCACAAAGGTTAACCACACGCAAAGGATAAAGACTCACCCAACGGAAACACATGCCTCCGTGACTACACACGTCACGAGAGAATAACACACAACGCCGGCTTTACAAGCCCTCGCAACATCACCCATCACGAGTTGGTATGCTTTCCTTATGGCCTGTTCCAACCTTATGGCTACCCCCAACCTTGTATCTTCTTTCCAACCATTACCTCCAGGACCCTTGTACTTCTTAGTCCAACCATATTCCCCCGGGACCGTCGTCCCCCACCAACGACCACCAACGAGACCACCAATTCATAGTACACAAGGTACCGTACACGGCGAAACACATGTCCGGATAACACATGCTATCCCCCAATCACGTGAACCTTACACAAAGGCCACAACTCCATAATCACGTCACGGCCACCACGAGGACCGCTGCAATACCTTGGTGACTAGTGTCCCATACAACTAATCGTGCAATCCAGGTAAAGTCACACACGCACCACAACTCAATAAGAGTCAAACAACGGATCACAACGAAGGTATGAAACATACTCAATCAAGGAACGGGTCACAGCCCAACAACATCAACGATGAATAACATGAGTTATCATCAACCAAACGGAAGGTACAAACAACACACACGCTAGCATTTAGACAACAAACTAGCATGCTTATCAACGGGGAAACTCAAGATAGTTCTGAGGAACACACAAGACACCTCTTGGTCCAACGAAACACAATGTTGAACACTTAGCACGATTCAAAACACCAAAGTCCTACATGGATACCTACCATATAGTTCTAGACATACGAAACATCAAGAAGACACTCAAATAGTTCCACAAAAGAACAACGGGAAGTCAAAAGATCAAATACCGAGTCAAACGAATCACGGGGAACAAATCCCGATCCAACTCCACTCGTGTACCCGCGGGTGGACCCACGGATAGTGCCCCACCCGTGGTTCCGCCCACGGGAACACATTCCCATAGGGCACTATACCCGCGGGTAGGCCGGCGGGTGGTGCCCCGCCCGCCGTTCCGCCCGCGAGAACATTCCTGTTCCACAACAAATCCCTTCGGGGATTTTCTTCTCCAAACACAAATTCAAGTCCAAAACATACCAAATCTCGCCAAATACAACAAAATGACTTGAACCATGGAAAATGCCAAGCAATGGCACAAGGGAACCCTAAACACAAGCTCTAGATATGCAATATCACAAGACAAATGCATAAACCCTCACATTTCATAGCAAAACACATGTAGAATCCAAGAAGTCACATATAGGTAAGCAAAATAGGTTTTGTAGAGCATGGGTTACCTCTTGTAGACCAAAAGACTTCACTTTACACCACAACAAGCTCTCCACAAGGCTTACTTTCCAAACCCACTTCAAGATCAAACCAAAAGATCATAAAGATCGTACCTTTAAGAAAAATACAACTAAGATGGAACCAAAAACACAAGATGAACTTAGATCTTACCCTCCTAGATGCCCAAATAGGTGAAAGGTTGAATCTTGGAAGCAAATCTTGGAATCTTGACAAGGGTCTCAACTTGGCTTGGAGAATAAGCTACACTTCTTTTCTAGAGAGAAGGTAGAATTAATTTCTAAGAAATGTATGGAATGAAATGAAGAAATCTTCTAGGTTAGGTTACAATACTAACTCTTGGTGAAAAGTCAAGAATACCCTTACTAACCCTTAAAAAGTGTAAGGAACAAGGGAACTCCCCTCAAAGCTCAAGGTACAACACAACTTTAAGGTTGACTAGTCAAATACTAGTCATTGAGTATTAAAAATCAGGATTTTAGGAATTAACTCTTCAAATACAATAGGATTAATTACTCAATTAATCCATGGATTGAATGTGGATTTTTGGGGTGTCACACCTCCTATGTCCCTATTTATATATTTAAGAGTCCTAATTAGGGTCTAAGTGGTATGGGTTTGCTAATTCTATTTCCTATAGGATTAGGGGATTGGTTTTAGGGATTAGGGCCCATGGACCATGGTGGACCTTTCTTAATTAATTAATGAGATTTAATCCCTCTTTCCGGGTAAATAATTAATTGGTTTATGGGCCGTAACACGGGGTGTTACACCTCTACTTAGAGAACCTTTGGCAACTCATCCAAGACTGGAGTTCTTACAAAGTACACCTGAATTTCAAGAAAGATATGGTACCATATTGATGATATCTGTTCTGGTTTCTCTTTCTCTGATAATCTTTTAACAGTGATTCTGTTCTCTTGTTAAATTAAGGATATTTCCTAAACCATATTAATTCTGCCAGTCTAATTATTTCTGTGAAATCAAAAGTAGTTCCAGAGAATCCTTACTTAGTTTGATGATATAATTTTCTGATTTGTAGTTGTGTCCTTGTAGTTGCCCCGTCTAGGATGTCTCTATGACCATCCTCAATGGTTTGTACTTCTATGATTATGTTTGTGAATACTTCATTTCTCCCCTACCTGGGACCAAAAACAGTTCTTTCACTAATATGCAATGTTGAAAAAATCGCTAGGCACTTGTTTATTTATTTATTTATTTTAAATTGTTTTTATAAAATTAAACAATGGGGAGGGGAGGGTATTGTTGATTTGTAGATGGTATGGTTAATAGTTTATTTTAATTGTTAACATTTAGAATTTGTAGTTTATTTGTAGTAAAATGTTATTAGAATTGAAATTTTAGATTGGTGTGTTGTAGTTGATAGAATTGATGTGTAGTGTACATCTTACACTACATCTTAAATTGATTAATGTTGAAATATAT